ATATATATATATATATATATATATATATATATATATATAAAATTATGAATTTTTTTTTTTTTTTTTTTTTTTTTTCATTTTGCTAAATGGGAAATTTGAGTAAACAGAAATATTCTCATGTGATTTGGTGCCTTTCTTTGTCCAGTTATTGTTACACCGGCTGCAACAGTCTAGCTGCTGTTAGTTTTACTCTCTCAGTCCGTCTCAGAGTAACTGATATCAAAGACACAACAGATGTAGTTGGAGGATCTGCTGGTACTCCACACCACAGGGTTTGTGATCCAGTCTTAAGATAGCCCCCTGTTCTTTTTTTTTTTTTTTTCCTCCTATCTGTGTTTGTAAGCCTGGGAAATCTCTGGCTGTATTGATGCACCAGACAGATATGAAAGAGAAAGTGAGACTCTGAGAGGAAGCTGATATTTGTTGTAGAGCAGCAGAGGGAGTTTAAAAGCTGGAGGAGAGTGGGAGAGGTAGATAATCCCAGCAAAGTATAGTGTGGGAGGGCGGGCCGCGGTGATCAATGACGAGAGCCTGAGAGGGCCAAGGGGAGGACATCAGGAGTCTGGGCATGGAAAACGATCAAACACACTCACACAGCAGCTGAGTATTTGTTTGCGTGTGTGGGTGTGTGTGTGTGTGTGGATCTAACTATTCGAGCATGCCAGATCCAGGGCAGGAGTCTGAGTATGAGGGATGGGAGAAGATTTGTGCTAAAATCCATTATTAATTTGGTAGTTCATCAATAGGAATGAAGGAAGAGCAATTTAGAAATGTATTAAATGAAGCCATTTATGTGGTATTAATATCAGTGTATAACGTTGTCAATTGAAAAGCATCACTTCACGGTCTGGGAACTTTTAAATGCAAATTCTTTTTAACAAACTGCATTATTATTTAACACTTGCTTTAAGGCTCTCTGGCTCTACAGCACCAGGAGACAAGGCAGAACTTATTGTGTTGTTTCATTAGTCATTTGTCGTGTTAATCTTTCCCTCCATTATATCCGAGAAATAATTTAGAGAGCAACAACAACCATTCAAGCAGTAATCACAGAAATGTGTACTGTCCAGGCACATAGTGTGACTTTTTATAGCACAATCAAGAAACTGTTACCTTTAAAAGAAATTTGACTTTGCAATTTGATAACTTGGCCACTGTCTCCTTAAGAAGTCCCTGTTCTTTCCAACACTCTGCCTTCAGCACATCATTACGACAAAACCTTTCCATTATGCCGTTGACAAACATTCTTAGAAGCACTGGATTGACAAAGAGTTTGCACGATAAGCTCAGCATATGAAACAGTCAGTTCCATTTGATGTTTGCTAATTGCTGCTGGTGCTAGTCTGAAGGAGCTGAGTGAGGAAGGGGCAGTGGAGCGGTGCTCTGTAAGAGGAAGAGCTTTGTGGAAAGAGGTGACACTTTGGGAGAGCAAGTGCCAAATGATCACCACAGGCAATTTCAGGAATTTCACAAACATGAAAGAATCAAGGCAACACTCCCAGTATGTTTTTGATGAGAAGAGCTAAAAAAAAAAGCTGATTTTACATAATACTCTCCCTTTAAGAATAAAGACTAGGGCTCTACAACATTAGACAATCTTGGGACGATGTTGGAAAACACTGCACCGAATTTTATGGCCAAGACGTAAAGCCCAGTGTGTGGTAGAACATGACTGTGGCAGCATAATGCTGTGTGGTCAGTGCAAACTGACATTTAATTACCTCTGGCGAGAATAAAGCATGCCCTGCACGTGTGTCGTGTTTCTCACCACGTCCTTCCTGTAAAGCACCTCCATGATGTCACTGAGCAGCTGGCAGCAGGCCTTCGGCTCCTCCTGCTTCTCCAGGTGGGACTTCAGCTGTTCCGTCATCAGCGGTAGGAGGATCTCGCGGCAGTCTGGAGGGACAGCAACGAACACACACGTTCACCACGCCGGTTAACACGCACGAACCAGATGATGGATCACTTGAAGCAGTGCGGCATATGCTTTCTACACCGCCGCTGCAGACGCACACGGTTTAGTAATGACTCGCTGATCTCAGAGGGTTAAATTAAAACACGCGAGGCAATTAATTATTTCATTAGAGGATCTGAAACTTTCTTGAAATATGGCAGCTGAACTTTTAAAACGGCAGCAAATTATTACTGCTTTTAATTACACTGTAAGCTACAGCACAGGCCAATGGCATCAGTCATTAAGCTAGAAAATCAATTGGCTGTCAGTTTGATGTCAACCATTCGCTGTCAGCAGTGGAAAACCATCTAAAAACGACTCTTGTCAGGTTCAATCACAATCTTTCTGTTATATTTAAAGGAAAAGTGTCTAGGAGACTCCAAATACCTTTATTCATTCCCTCAAACGGCCATTTAATACACAACTGCAGTCAACAGCTAAAGTGCTGACAATGAGATACAACTAGACAGACGCATATCTACAATGTTATGAGATATCAATAGGTCTAACCAAACCAACCATAGCAAGACTTTCAGTGTCAGAGACCTTTGTTTTTGCTTTTACCTTAAATGACTGATCAGATTTTTTTTTGTCCCACGACTGAGAAGTTAGGCAGTGTCTGTGACTATAATTCCTCATCCTATAGAGCCTTGGTTTAGCGAAAATAAATGCAAATGTGAGCCTTAGCACTCAAAAATACACTGGCATGTAAATCTTTTCAAGCTTAAGTAGAATATAAGGCCAAATAATAAAGGACAGGGTGAGGAACACAATGAAGGGACTGAACCATGGAAGATGTCATGAAAACAACATCTTCCATATATGTACCCTAACCCTAACCCCTTACCCTAACCCTATCCTTGGCAGGGAAAGCGTACATGGAACGACATAACCAAGTGGCGGGCATAGTGTACAGGAACATCTGTGCAG